TCAAAGGATGTAGCGACCTCCATGTCTTCAGCCACCACTGGTTCATTTTTTTTTTCTAGTTGATCATGGTCGATCTTGTCTTCTTTCCTTTTGAGTTCTGCAATTTTTCTTTGCATCCTCCTTTTTTGAGTACGTGTAGGAGGTTGCTTAGGAAACTTTGGGTGACTTACTCGAGTCCATCTGCCATGGTCAACCAAAGGAGGTCTAACCATTCTTACACGGCTAGATTCTTCTCCTTTTTGAACCCATATTTCTGACTGAATTGTTGGTTTCCTTTTGAAACTAGGATAAAAATGTTGTTCTGGCAGGACTCTATCGGCCACCGATGACCGAATGATTCTCACTGCCCTCGGCCCATTTTCTCTAAATATTGATCGATTGATTTCTTCGTGATTCTGTCTAGGCTGATGGCCTAACCTTTCATGGACACTACGCTTTCTGGTTGATTGGAAATAGCCCTTCTTGTCTGAGTCATTCCTTCGGCCTTTACAATTTGGACAACAACCATGGTTGATGAGGGCAATTTGAGCTTCTCCTAACTGAATTTCCAAGTCCTTAACTTTCTGCTCATCATTACTGGCTGATGAACTACCAAGAACTTTTGGTAATCTTTCCTGTCTACCATTATCAGCGGCTTTTTCAGTTGCCAGGCTGATTACATTGGTACTGACAATATTAGGAAATGGATCGCCATCGACCCCCATTACATCTGGCTTTTTTTCAGGGAATTTTAATACACCTTCATCGATAGATTTCTGTAATACATTTCTAAATACATAACAATTGTTAGTAGTATGATTCCATGAATTATGAAATTTGCAGAACTCTCTTCCTTTTAAATCATTGGTCGATAATATATTGTGCCCTTTTGGCAAAACGATTTGTTTGTCGGCCAACAAATGATCAAAAATTTGTTCTGTTTTGGCCAGATCAAACGTATAAACCTTACCAGTATCAGCCGTACCCTTCCTGGCCGATAAACTCGATGGCTGAGTACCACTGGTGGATACATTTGGTTTTGTTAAAACGTCATATACATAAGGCTTCTTTAGAATGACTTCGGCTAAATTAGCTTCAAAATCTTCCTCTTCAACCACATCGGTTGAATAAACTTCATAGTTGGGGTCCCTATAGTACGTACCTTTAGAGGAATTTTTTCGTTCTTTCTCCTCTTTAAGAACCAACTCATACCTGGTAACTTTCTCGGCCAGGTCATACATGTCATGAAATGGAACTCCTTCAAACCTCTTCCGAAGTTCAAAATCAAGGCTGTTCAAAGCCAAATGAATGTACTCCTGTTCTAGAAGAGGTACACAACATCTTAATCTTGCTCTCCTGAATCTTGCAATGAATGTCTCGACCGATTCACTAGGCAATTGACTTAGCCTGGATAAATCGGCCAGAGTAGGTTCTGTCTCCGTACGGTAGAACTGATTGTGGAATAATTCCTCCATCTGTAGCCAATTAAAAACAGAGTTAGGAGGTAGACGAATATACCATGAAAAAGCTGCCCCTGTCAAAGAGTTAGGAAAAAGTCTCAATTTCAACCACGGGCTAACATTGGCCTCTCCACATTGAACCATGAATTGGCCAATGTGTTCCACGGTCGATTGATTCCCCTCTCCACTAAAGGTTACAAAGTCAGGGACTTTATATCCTCTAGGGAACTCAACTTGGTCTACCACTTCTGGATAAGGAGTTCTATAAATTGGTCGGCCGGCACCTCTAAGTTCCAGGCCATATTCTTCTGTGAGTAAATCAGCTAATTGTCTTCTATCTAACATGACTTGAGGTGGCTGATTTAATATTGGTGGTACCTGATTAAAAACTGGCGGCTGATTAGCTGCTGGTTGATAGCAATTCGGCCAATCATGTGGCTGATTAGCCATATTCTGCCCCCCGAGCCCTACCTGTGGCGGCACATGAGTATACAGTGGGTTTGGTGGCCTCCACCTGATCTGATTGCCCCCCGAGTTCAAAGGCATCCGAGGAGGGTTTGGTGGAATTACCTGTGGCCGCGAACCTGCTACTGGTGGCTGATTAGAACCTGCCAACGTAGGCTGAGGATAGCTTTCTGCCCAGGTGAGTAGCGTATGAACCGGCTAACTTGATGTTGCTCCTGGTTGGAGTGTCACTACTGGCGGCCATGGCTGTGATTTTTCAATGGCCCTCTCTGGCCGAGCAGCTTGTGATAGAATCGACTGAGAAGCCGATTCCTGATTGTTGGAGCTGCTAGCTTGAGTCGGCTTGTTCAAAATAAAGGCTGGGAGTTGGGACATATTTTCATGCAAGTCATTGTAGCGTGCTCCCATCCTTCCCATTGCATCTACCAAGGAGCTAACCTGTGCTTGAAGTATGGCTAACTCATCAGTAGGACCTGCTGTAGAGTTCTCAGCCTGTACTGGCTGATCGCCTTCCTCCAAATCTTCATTAGTAGCCACTGCTTTAGAATTTTTTGTGGGCCGCGGCATATTTGCCTCTTTTATAACACTCTAGTAGTGGTCCCACCGGGCGTGCCAAAACGTGTTCGCGCGGTTTTTGTTCCCTACGCTGGTCGATGGACTCTTCCCGGGCGTGCCAGAGTATTTGTACAAAATGCCCAAAATATGTAATTGAACACCAGCCTATCCCTTTTTCCGATGGCTGACTCTCAGGCGATTATGTGGGAGAGAGACTAGTAAGAACTCCCAGCAAGGTTCTTTTATGCCTTGTTTGTAGCAAGGACTTTTTAGAGTGTCTAAAGGAATGCAACGGCTGATGAATGTTTGAATGGATGGAATGGCCGAGTGAAGACAGGCGGCAAGAACTTAATCGATCGCCGGCCGAATGTGATGGCGAGAACTTAATCAATCGCCATCAGCCAAACACAATGGCAAGAATTTAATCGATCGCCACCAGCCAAACACAATGGCAAGAATTTAATCGATCGCCACTGAAACGTGATAGCAAGAATTTAATCAATTGCCATCAGCCAAGTAATGACAAGAATTTAATCAATTGTCACTACGATTCAACGGCAAGAATTTAATCAATTGCCATTGAATTGAAAGCCTAACTAAAATTGCGTAATTAAAATTGGCATAATTGAAATTGAAAGAAAGTAAATGGCTGAATCGAAATAGTTGACGAGGATCTAATCAATTGCCATTAAATTGAAATAAAGAAATTGATAAGAAAATGACGTAGAGTCAATTGAAAACATTTTTAGTTGAAATGCATGTTTTGTGGTGGTGCTGGACAAGTTAGAAATGGAATACAATACTTCTATTTATAGAAGTTCTATCTCAACTTATTTTCCTAAGTTATTGCTAGAAAATCTCTCCTTCTTTGATTTTTTTTCTTCACAATTTGAACTCAGTCAAATCCTATTGTTATTCTGCTTCCTTTCTTGTTTTGTTTCAGTATGAAATCTCTGTAAAAACAACCTTCCTCGATTTAATCACATGTAAGTTGCCGAGATATTGTTAAAACGTTGCTAGAAAGTTGCTGAAAAGTTGCTAATTTTTAGCAACTCCCCTCCTTAAATTTAGCAGCCCGTTTCATTCCCTTAAATGGCCTAATGGCCATTTGTAACTTTTGAACTTATACGGCTATTCCTTTCTTGTTGAAATTCCTACTTCATTGGGATTTAATTATTTATTGTAACTAAATCTCTTAAGTCTTCTCTTTTGAATTGATGACATATTTGAATTGATTCAAATCTCTACAAATATATTTAGCAACAACCGTATCAACAAAGTGGCTGAAATATATTTGCCTAGATTTTCTCCTTTTGTCTCTCTATTGGCCGACTTCCCTAAAGACATAATAAACACTTGTCAATTTCTCATTGGTTCACGTCATCGCTGAGATGGCTGCCAGGTTTTGGTGCCAACACATTAAGAACCAATTGGAACAACAAGAAGATGTACAGGGCAGTGCGAAAAACGGAAGAGCAAAGAATGAATGAGATATGAAAAATAACCATGCACAACAAATGGTAATGCAAATCTAGAGAATTCAAAACCACAATCCTCTCTCCATCAACAAACAAACCCAACTGGAACTAGTTTTGCGATCTTACCTCATCATCATCAGTTTGCCATTACAAATCCCAATGTGAGAAAAGTGTCGCCGGAATACAGGAGATAATCACTGGAATCAGAGTCAGATATATCTTCACCACTGGTGCAGCTTTCAAACTCCGAGCTCGCTGCCACTCTCACTCTCACTCCTATTCATTTAAATTTTATTGCTCATATTCCCGCTCTTATTCTGTATGATTTAAATTTTATTGTTCTGTTACCGAATTTGCTATTGCTCCGGCTGTGTGCGATGGGTGAGATAGTCACCGGAATACAACTATCGATAGCAAACAAGTTGTCAACGTTGATATGGCATTGTCATTCCATGGCAATGTGTTGGTCTCCATGACACTATTGGCACTGGCAATGTGTTGGTCTCCATGACGCTATTGACACAGACCAACACAATGTTCTTAATTAACCATTTGGAATTTGCGAGTCTTATAAATAACCCCTTCATGGTTTATTTTTTAATTAACTTTATCCATCAATACACAAGAATAGAGTGACTCATTCAACTAGATCATTTTGCACATACCAATATCAGTCACTTGATTTTTATTTTTTTAATTATACTTGGGTATTCCATAGACCGATTTAATGTAAAATTTCTAATAAATTAATATGATTGGAGAATGTTCACCTTTTTTTTTAATAACAGTGACCTGAAAAACAGAAACAAAAAAAACATTTCAAAAATATTTTATTTAATGGACCATTTTTTTTGGAATTAATTTCAATAACATCTCTTAAATTTGACCAAATATCACACAGAAATACTTTAAAAAAATTATTACAATCACTTAAGTCCAATCTTAATCCTTAAAATTGTGTGAAAAGACAATTTTGTCCATAATTTTTTAATACCATTTATTCCTAAATATCAACTAATTTACCCCTAATTTAGTCCAACCATGTATGACTGGCCATTTTCTATAAACCCATTCTGTATAAACCCGTTTTATAAAGTTCTAGATCCATTATGGGTTCATATATATATATATATACACATGTAGTTTCATATCCGAATTAGGATTCCTTTCTTCATTTAATCCCACCTGATTTCATCAAAGTCGGTGACTTAATTGGTAGGAGTCCTTTCTTCATTTAATCCCACCTGATTTCATTAAAGTCGGTGACTTAATTGGTGGCGATCTCACATACATACCGTGCATATGTGCATATGTGCATATATGCATATATTTGGATATATATACATGTATGGACTGAGACCTCTTGAAAGTTAAGGCCCTGCTTGGATTGTCACTATGAAAAACAAAAAACCCAAAACTGCAAATTGGGACGACTTGGAAGTGTTTTTCCGAAACTGCTTTTGGAGAGCAATAAAAAGGTGTTCAGGGAGTTTTCGGAAACAAGAAGACGCACTCTTTGAAAACACGGAGAACTCTTTTCACTTAAACGAGAGTAAGATATCTCGTTTATAACATTACCCACATCTCCTCAGCTGCACCAAGTGTTCTCTCTCTTCAAGGCTTGAAGCTCTCTCACTCTGACAGATTTCTTTGCAATGTCTCTCTTCAAGCTACATCTCTCTCAGTTTCTTGCGCTTCTCTTAGGCAGAAAAGGTCGATCTGCGTTTCTCTTCCTATAATCATCTCTGTGTGCGGGTAAAATTCTCTGTCTTTCTATTTTTCTCTCTCTAAGATTTATGGGTTTTCGATTTATGGTTGTTCACACTCTGATTTGGGTTGAGAATTGATTATTTGTATTGATTGGATGGATTTAGTTAGTTTTATTTGATTTGTTTAGGTGAATTTGGTTTTATGGATGGATTTAGTTGGTTGGTTGGTTGGTTGGTTTGAAATTGTTTGATTTGTGGTTTTATGTGGTTGTTAACACTTTATATCTGGGTTTGATTTGGTTGGTTGTATTTTTTTCTTTCCGTATTTCAGTTGTGTTTGATTTTTTTTTTTGTTTTCCTCCATTTTAAAAATTAAAAATTTACAAGCGAGAAAAATTAGGGAGTTTGGGCTCGCATTTTTCTTTATATGTCATTCCATTTCCATCTATTGGAGTTAAGGTTGCTATTCTTTTTACTTCTCAATAGGTGGAAATGTTATCGACAACTCATTTTAGTTTTAATGACATGAAATTTTATGAATTGAAATCACTTTCATTCCTGTGGTGTTCTCCTTTACCCGGCTATAATTGTATTTGTAATGTCAATTATAAGTTTATGACATATCTATCAAAGAATTTGATGAGTTGGTCTGTTACTCATGATGTTGGAATGTAATTCTATATTATTATGTGTCTTCACTATTTGAGGCCAATGGCTTGTAAACTATGACGCGCGAGCACGAGCGCAGACCCGACACGGCAAATTTTAAAAAAATAAGACACGAACATGGCGGGGATACGCCTATAAAATAATATATATATATATATATAGGCGTATCCCCGCCATGTTCGTGTCTTATTTTTTTAAAATTTGCCGTGTCGGGTCTGCGCTCGTGCTCGCGCGTCATAGTTTACAAGCCATTGGCCTCAAATAGTGAAGACACATAATAATATAGAATTACATTCCAACATCATGAGTAACAGACCAACTCATCAAATTCTTTGATAGATATGTCATAAACTTATAATTGACATTACAAATACAATTATAGCCGGGTAAAGGAGAACACCACAGGAATGAAAGTGATTTCAATTCATAAGATTCTAATAATTATATTCAAAATATAATTATTAGAATCTTGCACATTCATTTTCTTAATAATAAATAGGTATATATAAATACAAAATTACAAATTAAATAACAACAAATAATATGACCAATTTTAATAATTTTATCTGTGTTATAAGAAAAACATAGACAAGACAAAACAAAAAATAAATAAAAAATAAAGTTGATCCAAATTCCAAATGAAGATGTGCAGAAGAGACATAGTTATAATGGGTTAAATATGTACATGAATAAACATATATATTTTCAGTCTTTCACAAAGTTTTGTTAATCTAACTTTAAAAAAAAAAAAAATGTCTTGTTCATGTACATTGATAATTGAAGAAGAGGAGAGAGGAAGTGACAGAAAATAAATTTTCTGTGTAATACTCTGTTGTCTGTAGTTATTTTTTTATTTTTTCAAAATTTTATTTTTAAACTTCTAAAATTAGTAAATTACATTAAGTACCCCATTTATCTTAAAAAAATTACAAAATATACCTCGTCGTGTCCCCTGCGTGTTCGAGCCGTGTCCACCCCGTGTCTAATAAAAAATAATTTCTGAAGTGTCGAACACGTGTCCGAACCTTGGACACGTGTGTCCGTGTCCGAAAAGTGTCCGACACTAGTACGGACCCCTGGGAAGAGTGTCTGTGCTTCACCTTGGACATGTGTGTCCGTATCCGAAAAGTGTCCGACACTACAACGGACACCTGGAAAGAGTGTCCGTGCTTCACCTCGGACATGTGTGTCCGTATCCGAAAAGTATCCGACACTGGTACGAACCCCTAGGAAGAGTGTCCGTGCTTCATAGCTTGTAAGTGAAACAAGCAATTGAAATGTTGAAATGTCGTGGAACTGTGCTTTGATCTATGATAGTTGGATTGTGTCATTGCCATTTCCAGATAACTGTCTCTTCTAAAGCTTTTATAGTATATTCAGATGGACAATACATATTCCTAATTTGTTGACCTGTCCCATTTGTATTCTTGATATATTCAAGTTTTGCTAATTCTTTCCAAATATTCAATAACATGTATTTACTATTCTGTTTTATGATGATTGGCATTATGTAGTCTTATAAATCATATAGATTTATGCATGTTCTATTGAGTCCTAATTCCGGGAAGGAAACAATCTTTTCATATTCCAGTTTGCTAATAAAAATAAGTTTTTATTTATTTATTTGTAAGGTCTATAATGTGAGAATATGCTAGGAAATTGCTTGGGTGTTGAAATTCTAATAACAATTGCCACTTTTTTCTACTCTACAGTTCATTCCTATCAAATTTATAATTCCTTGATTTACTCTTTCTTATATCAGATGCTGAAAATATTGGGGGAGAAATGTGTGGATGAATGATAATTCCACATTTTTTAGGAACATGGAGCAAAGCAGCAGACCTTCCTTAGAGGATTACTTGAAAGGAAGGGGTAGTTCATCAAGCTTACATTAGCTTCTCTTGTATTCTATTTAAACACCTTTTATTTGTTTACAAGTAATTTCTGCTACAAACCAAGGCTAACAGAGTGTGTAGTTCGTCCTTGTACCGTCAGGGAAAGGAAAAAAAAAAAATTGCACCCCCTGATGAGGTAGTTTATGTTTGTAGGCACTGAATTCATGTAAAGTTATTAATGGAAGAAGCCCAATTAAGATAGAAAGGGTTCAAAGTTTGCAACACAAAATATGTGTCTTGATTAAAGTTTTTTTTTTTTTTTTTTTTTTTTTTTTTTTTTTTAAAAGTAATGAAATAGTCACATAAGATTTAAATATATAAGCATACAAACCAGTGCAGGATTCAATTGTATGAAATGTACTAAAGGCTCGTTTTCCTAATTTAAAACTTATGCCTTGTTATAAGTTGGATAGACGACAACTCATAATAAACTGTCTGTTGCACGATTCACAATTTCATTTGTCAAAATATATTAGATGATCGTTTTTTTATGAAGTATCGGGAAGAAGATGTTAATGTGGCTAATAGGGGGAATGGTAAACTGAATGCACTTAATTTATTTGATAATGGTGCAGCACAAATGGGAGCCCTTAGAACTTATCTAAAGAATGAAATGTGGGCATCATTAAGAGGCAATGCTACATGAAGTTAATTTTATAATTCTCCAATGTTTTGCTTTGATTAACTATTTGTGTAATTTTCTAATATTTTGCACTGGTTATGTATGACTAAAATTAATGTTTGTACAACTAAAAGTGCATATGACACTTGAAGTAATTCCTGTAACTCTTTTATTGTATATAAATTTAGTGAAATTTTAATTAAACTTGATATATTGTATTTGTGCAACTTTTATTAAGTTATGAATACTAGCTAAAATAAATTCACCTCCAAAACTTATATATATATATATATATATTTACACAAATAGTTAATATCATAAATTAAAGAATAAAAGAGTGAGGTACAATAATATTTTTATTTATTTTCTTAGTTCAGAAATCTATTTTGAAAAACTCATACAACCAAGTAGTTTTATGAGTTTTTGTTTTCCAAAAATTGTGTTGTAAATTCTCTTAACTAAGTAGGTTTGAAATCTGACAAAAACTGAAAACTGTTCTGTATTCTGATTCTCTAGAACAGCTTTCAGAAATGCAATCCAAGCAAGGCCATAATTTTCATATATTCTATGATAAGAATTTTTGGACCTATAAAAAGTGAAATTTTATGAATAATGTAAAGTTTTACATCTGACATAGACAATGACTCTTATATTATTTGAAACACTTTTTCAGTTATAGTATAAATTTTTAAATAAAACTTATTAAAAATTTGAAGACATAATATACTAAGATGTGTGATTTGATCAAATTCTGATTTTATAAATTGAAAATAAAAAATTATCTTCCCATCTTTCTTTTCTTCTCTCTATTGTTTACGTTTTTTCATCCCTCATATGTTTATTTTTACCTCCCTTTTCTTACCCTACAAACAAAACTAGCATCGGAGAGAAAGAGGTAGATATAGCTGGGTGAAAAAGAGTGGTGGCATGGTTGGTGTCCTTGAATTGTATGGAATATGTGATTATATGTGTGTGTCGGACGCTATCGAACAAAGGAAAAATATGACATCACTACGGGATGCATCAACTTTCACAAATTTTTTTATGCCCACTGCAAGTGACAACTGGACAGTACAGTGAACAGCTGTAACCATCAATGTCTCGAACAACCATTGGTAAGGATCTGGTTCTCATCCTTTTCCAAAAAATATATTTCTAGGGCAAACCATTTCAGCCTCCCCAATCGCCTCCATCTCTATTCTCGTTCTCAGCTCTGAACTTGCCCCCCTCCCCTCTCTCTCTCTCTCTACAACTGCCACTACAAAATCTACAAGAATCAGAAGTTCAAAACCCATATATTTCAGTTTATCTATCCGTCTACAGGATTCAAAACCTATTACCTATATCAAAACCTATATCGGCATATCATTTCAGATTGTTCAAAAAATCAAAACCCATATCTTTCAATTCCCATCGCCCGCTGTTCCAGTTCGGGTTCGCCGTTCGCAAGCTTTAGCCATTGTTCCAGTTCGGGTTCGCAAACATTTCACCCCTTTCAGCCTACAGATCTGTCTCATTTCCTCCATTTCTTTCACATCTCTCCCTCTTTCATTCCCCTTTCTTTCGCTCTTTCATCTCCATCTTTCTTGTATATCTTTCTTCCTCTCAACCGGTAAGTATCTCTTCTTGGATGCCTTTAGTTCATTTTTATTTTATATGATTTTATTGCATAATCACAACTCCATATTAGCATTTTCTCTCTTCCATCTGTTTGTTACATGTGGTATGTATTGCACAGAATTAATTAATATCTCTTTTTCGTAATTTGTTGGCATATACATTTTTGTTACTAAACTTCTTCAAATCCAAGTGTTTTTGTTTCTTTGAATTAATATTTGTCTTTGCAACCTTTATTTTGTGATTTTAACATTTTTCAACTCCAAACCTTAACTGACTGATGATTTTTTTTTTTTTTTTTTGCTATTTTTGTTCATATAGTTCATCTTGTCTCAGCTAGCTTGAAATGTTTTTGTTATTAATTTGCAAAGTCTATATTATTTAGGATTATTTGCTTGTTAAACTCTGAACAAAATTTTGATGTGACAGATTCGGTTTATTTCTTATAATTTTAAGGCAAATCATTTCAGCCTCCCCAATCGCCTCCATCTCTATTCTCGTTCTCGACTCTGAACTTGCCCCCCCCCCCTCCTCTCTCTCTCTGCAACTGCAAACTACAACTTCTACAAGAATCAGAAGTTCAAAACCCATATATTTGAGTTTATCTATCTGTCTGCAAGAATCAGAAGTTCACAACCCATATCGGCATATCATTTCAGATTGTCAAACCCATATCTTTCAGTTCCCATCGCCCGCTGTTCCAGTTTGGGTTCGCCGTTCGCAAGCTTCAGCACTGTCTCTCAACTCTCAAGGCTGCCCCCCCCCCCCCCCCCCCAATTGCTAACTTGTATGAGGACACCAAAATGACCCGGGTTTGGTGTGATCCACATCGCATAGGACGGGTCGGGTGTGGACAAATGAGATGGAGCAAGTTCGTGCCGGATGGGCCCAGGTCCATAAAGTCATTTCAGAAGCCCATGTTATAATGAGGGAAGTCGAGTCCAGCCAAAAGAGATCAAGATAGGTCCAGCTCAGTGGAGGTTATAACCGTTTATAAATAAAGGGGGATTGAGAGGGAAAAGGGGGTTCGAAAAAATCATTGGGAGTGTAAAGTTTCTCTCTCTACAATTAGGGAAAAATTATTTGTACTTTCAATTGGCGCCGTCTGTGGGAAGAATAGGAAGGATTGATTAATATCATTCCAGATCGGATCAATTCAATGCATTCTGCGAGGAAGACGATTAATCTGCGAAAGCTGAATCAACATTGGTAATAATACGATCTGTCTTGACGAGTCCAGGTTCCGGTTGATTTCGGAAAATTGGCGTCCGATTCAAGCAGATCAGATCCGTGCTTGATCCGGCGGACTACGCGGTTGTGATCTGTTATGATTACTGAATCCGGCCAGTAGTGGACCGAATTCGGCAAGTGTAAGTTCAGATCTGGTGTGCGCACGTTAGCGGAACTCTGATTTGATCGAGAAGCCTGCAGTTGATGACTTTGCTCCAATCTGGAATGATGATCGGAGAGGCGAACTGGAATTCTTTGGAGAACGGCCAGCAGACGAAGCTCGATGAGCTAATGAACATGATCGATGCTTTGAGGAAAGAAAATGCAGAGCTACGAGCTGGAACGGAGCATCGCGAGGCTCCTGCAATTTCGAGGCCGCCTCCTGAAGGAGAGGGAGCTTTACTGTTCGAAGCTGATCGTCAAGGTGATCTAGAAGATGTCAATCGTGGTGGTCCACGTCGTGATGAAGGTATAATCGGTAATCTGCCTCCGAATGTCGGCCGAGTAGAGGACAGAGAAGGATCTATTCGTCTGGAACCGCATCACAAACGGATTATGAGGGAGGAAGCACCGGCATATGAACATAGGATTGCGTCACCATGGCGGAGTGAATTTGCGGAGGATAGGTCGTTCGATCCGCCATACCGACCTTCATTAGCGACAGTTGATTACCACAGCTCAGAAAGGAGATCTGTCGATCGAGGATTTCCGTCACGGTTTTTAAGAGAAAACGAAGCATTACGTTCCTCAGCAAGGACGGTTGCATCGTCGTTCACTGATGAAATTCTGAACGCGTCGAATCCGAAGAAGTTTTCCATGCCGATCTTCATTCTGTTTGAAGGAACAACCGATCCGGTCGATCACATATACCATATTCAGTTGAAAATGGCTTTGAATACTAATAATGATCCTTTGATGTGTAAGTGTTTCCCTACGAGCTTGGCTGGACCAGCTCTCAATTGGTTCAAGAATCTGGCTCAAGGCTCAATCGCCAGTTTCCAGGACTTATGCGATAAGTTCATAAGCCAGTATTACGGGAATAAGCGTCCGGCTAAGGATGTATCGAGCCTTTTTACAATGAAGCAGCATGAGGATGAGCGACTCCAAGCCTTTCTCACCCGGTTCAACCTCGTTAAAAGCATGGTAATTGAGTGTCACCCGTCAACAGCAGTCCAAGCATTTAAACTCGCAATGAACCAGGGGACGTTGTTCCACACCAGCTTGGTGGTTAATACGCCAAAGACAATGGACGAGCTGAACGAGAGAACTGACGGTTTTGTTCGCCTTGAGGAGGAAGAAGCAGCTAATTCAAGGAAGACGTCAATTATTTCGACGGAGGAGAAGTCCAAAGCCAAGATCTAGCAAAAACAAGCTCAACAACAACGTTACCCTCATGGAAGGCAGAGAAGAGGCCCAGGGAGGAGGAATCAGTCACTCCACTCAGAGTCACCTTAGCAAGGCTATACTAGGAGAACAAAGATAAGTTTCGTTCTCCTCTGCCAATCAGGCAACCTCTTGAACAGAGGGATCAGACTAAACATTGTGCTTTCCATAGTGATTTTGGGCATCGGACTAACGAATACAGGAACCTAAGGAGGCAGGTAGAGATGCTGATCTCAAAGGGGGAGTTTGCAAGCTATGTTCAGGGTCCGGCGCAAGAGCATAACCGCCCGACTGAACAAATCAAGCGGAACCAGAGGCCGAACCAACACAACTCTCAGCCCATCCGGATTATAAATGCAATTCATGGCCGGCTTGAACAAACGATGGAGTCAGAGGAGCTGCTCAGAACGAGGTTACGCCA